CTCTATAATAATAGAATATATACTTTCAATAATTAGAAATACTAATAATAATAAAATGACAAGCGAATATACGTTGGGTATCCGGTGTCCGGGAGGAGGGAGGGACGTCTTCAAGTTGCAGTAAATAGATTTTCCGCGGAATTTATAGGGCCCGTGACAAAGATTATTTTCATCGCGGGATGTGGGACATTCGCGTTCTCCGTAGCCGTGCGTGTGTGTGTGTCCGAAGGCGTTCGTCACGTGTATTTGCGAGACGCATGGGCTTATAGAGGGGAACCGTGTATGTGCCCCGGCAGTAAAGCAGCTATTCCCGAGCTGTGACGCTGTGACGAATATGGCGTTCGTTTCCTGCGAGCAATGTTATTTATTGCGCGATAAAACTCGCCGGCATTTTCACCTGCATCAGGGATACTCGCCTCCTTCGGACACGCGGCGAACTGCCCTGACGAATCGCGCCACGCACACATTTTAATTATCCCTTTAATTGCCCGCGTTAATCTCGAGTGAAATAAGCGCGTCTCGAGAGCCACTCTCGATGCTCGTAAGATCACGGTGATTTTTACACGTGAGTGGCTCCGGGAATTCAGGGAATCGTATCGATCGTCCGGGTAATACGGCTTCGTTTATTGACCCGTAGAAGAAAGAGCTTTATTTCTAAGTCTCTGGAAAGTGGAAACCTCATAATCGAACTAACTTATTTCTAAATCGGGCTCTTTTTAATCAAATTTATTTCTAAATCCGAGTCCTTTTTAATCAAAATATTTATATATAATAATATTCTTAAAATAGGATTAGGCTACTGTATACAGGAAATTATATTCTATATGTTATCGCCAATTTAGTTTTTTTACGTTGCGTTGAAAATTTTTTGATCAAAATCGCGCGGGACACCATAAAATTCGCGTTTCCTTTGCACGCTGTTGCACGAGTCGCATAGTTAATATCTCACTGTCACACGATTTAACGTTTTTTTTGTCGCGCACCGTTAATCCTGGCAGACGGCCTGCGCAATCCGTGAACTGATGAACAATCGATATCTGGCCATGCGAGCAGCCTCGTTATCGACAATCAGGTTTGGCGCACGTTCAACGAGTATCATTTGCTCGGTCCTGGCAATTCTCAGGTAAAACTGTGTTGCCGATAGCATTGCAATTTGCAAAAAGCTGCTGAGGAAGCAGTACATTTGTAAGCTGTACATTTACTTGGCAGGTAATAAATCTATCAAGACGATTTCTATAAATGTTATACAATATATGGAGAAATATAATTTCTATAAATGTATAAAATATTAGATGACACTCTGAATGGCAATCTGGGCTATTCTAAAGGGGACCAACACGCGAGGAGAAATTTTACTGTGCAGTAACGCACTATACCGCTGGTAAACTGGTTTCCTTTTCTCGTTTCTGCGGAGCAAGGTCGCGCTCCTGTTGCGTGCAAGAAGCGATCTTTATTTATGCCGTAATTTCTTACTTATATTTTTTTCCGAAGCCGACGTTACGATCCGAGGGGTAAATCTCGCGATCTCGCCGTATATTATATATATACGATCGTTCTGAAAATAAACGCATCGGCGGCGGCGCGTTTTTACCAGAGAGCGATCTTATCGCGCGTGCCGCACTCGAGTACTGCGATCCCGTCTCAATTGTTTCCGTCGATTAATGTACTGGAAACTGAGCGCCTAATTTAAGGCGTGTCGTCGGAGACTCTCCTCCTTTTCTAGCCGCAAGAGCGGACGAGCTCCCGCATTCCTCACCGTAACAGGCGGTGAGCAATTATCAAACGTGCAGCATTAAGGCACGCGCGCGTGATGTGCGCGGCGAGCCGTCGTGGTTTCTCGCGCGCATTTTACACGTTCCGATTTCTGTGTCTTCTGAATCTCAGAAACGTTCACGAAAATCTGAAATATCCTCAGTTTTTGTATATCACGATCACGTCCAATTGCGGTTGCCAAAAATTATCTCTACTTTTGTATAAGTTGATCCGAATTCAGTTATTTGCAGAAAGTGGAATAAATGGTTAACGATAATATTAAATGTAAGAATCTCTCTCGTCTCTTTTTCTCTTTCTGTTCATTTTGCAAATTGATATAACAATGAAATTATAAAAATCTTCCAAAAAGAAGGAATTAAAAGAAGATAATACCTTTAATATAATAAAATACAGTCTATGGAAAATAAACTGCTCTATTCTTTTAAAGTTTAAAAATGACTTCGAATTGTATCAATTTGGATGTCGTAATTTGGATCCAAGGATCAATCTAAATTTAAAATATTTAAAAAATTTTAGTATTATGACGTAAAAACTCTTAGATTGGGGTTTAATAAATCCCACCTTAATAATCGCGCTACATATTTTCACCTTAATAACGCTGGACCTCGAAAACAGCTATCGATGTCGATGCACGCGTGTAAGTGAAACACCCGGTGTGCCACTGATCTTGAAATACCGATCAATTGACCGATTCAGATCGTGTTCAGTCACGACGACTTAACCCGAGACACCTGCATTCGCGCGGTTGCGGACGACGGGAGAAAGACGGGGGAGGCCTCGCTACGTGCCTTGACGGCTCCTTTTAGAGTAATTACAACGACCATGACACATACTCGGAAACGATTAATGTTGCGAACAAAGCGTGTGCGTGGTAGAACATCTTGTGCGTTCCGCGTGTAAGCTAACTCACAGATGTTTAGCAGTGTGCATACATTGTTGTTATTAATAGGTATCTTATTTTTTTACGTTAAAATTATTCGTCAGTTCTTACGAAGCTATTAGCATGCATTCTCAATTCAATTTTAGTAATCCTCCCCCGTCGTAAGGAGAAGCGATATCGCTGGCGCACCGTGTATTTTACGTAATAACAGCACGTTGTTCCGCGCTCGAACAGGCGCCTTTAAAGAGCATTAATCGGTGAAAGTGACGCGCTCGCACCTGGCTCCTCTCTCGAGATAATCGAGAGACGCCGTTTTCGAAACCGCACGCGCAAATAGGGAAATGCCGATGTGGGTGGCGAGTCGAAAGCGGGATCAGTTGCGGCCTCGAGCAGCACCGTGGTGTGTTCGTATCGTATTCGTATTTAAGTATTAAAGACGTTTCTAAATTCATTGAATCTATTGCTCGCGTTTTCTCTCCCCTTTATTATTTTTAAATACCTATTATTCTTAAAATACTCTCGTGCAGAAGATACTCCTGTATGAGAGTCTCGGGCAAAACACATGCACGCACATTGTGTGCCGCCACGAAGTGGGGCACGAAGTGGCTAAACCGGCCCCGGGCTCGTTTAAAGACAGACTCGCAAAAGACGGAGGCGGCGTCGCCGGGGAGCATGAGATAGGTTGTCGCTTACAACGTCTCTCTCTCTCTGCCTTTGTACAACACTTACGACAACCGTCCTTCGCTAGAGGAGCAAGTAATCCAATGCACCGTGAGAAAATGAATCCGCGCGTTGTGCGACAGCGTTGTCCGCATTGTTTCGCGGCACATTGTCGGATGCTTTCTACGAAAGGAAACGCGCTCGGGCGCTTTCCATGATATCAATTCTCTCGCTCGCTCGGCTATACTGGACGTAACGTCGTCGCGTCGCGCCCGTTTTTTTTTTTGGGAAAGTTTCCCCGGAAAGTCTGGAAAGAGAGTTACGCGACCGCCGAGGTAACGCGTGAAGTACATAGAAATTGTTCATAGAAATTTATACACAGAAATCTTCGCGGCCTCGCGGCGAGCTATTTTTATCGGTGTGCGTCATCCCGCGAATTATTCGTTTAATTAAACTGTTCCGTGCGTTGTTCCAAGATGCAACTATGCATTTTGAATGTGCCTGTTACGCGATGTTATTTCTCTTGCATTCTTCGCAGCGCGTCTTTCTCTGAAGCTGTAAATATTCTTAATTATCGTGCTTATTGTCTTTTCGAGAGCACGATTTCCAGGTTGAAAACTCACATCGGCACAATAATGCGTTCGCTGTCACTTTTAATTAAAAATATCCGACAATATAAAAATTCCCTGTCAAGCTGGAATTAGAAAATCTAACAGATTATCGCCTGACTAATCCTTATAATTCTTGACACGGTTGATTTAGCATTTAACGCCGAGTATAAATTTAGAGGGATTTTATCTCTAAAATTAGATGGATGTGGTTCCTGTCGTGTCGCTAAGTGTGTATTCGCTTAAGAAAACACCGACAATTATTTTAAAAGAGAGAGAGTGAGAAAGAAAAGTCGTTCTTTTGACCCCGGGTCGCGAGAAGGGAGACCCGAGCTTCCGGAGAGAGGGTGAGGGGTCGATCACGTTATAGGCTTAAGGGATCCAACGTTATTTTGATTCGTCGCCGCATGTGCGTGTGCGTGTGCGTTCGCGTGGGCGTCGTGGGTACGAAATGCAGCCCGGCTGACTCACACTCGTGCGACCGCAGAGTGCCGTGGAAGTGCCGTCCCCGCGCTCGGCGGTATCGGACGGTATCCGCGAAGCCGCGCGCTGATTCGCCTCGTAGTGCGGGCCTCGCGCTCGGCGGCGGTGCGCGCTGTTCTCCGTGATTCTCACGATGGATGGGATAATCGATTGTTAACGCGATTAAGTCCGACGTGCGCCGCAGTCCGAATATATTGTTCCCCCGGCGAGACGCGTGGCGCGGAATGATCGATGGTGACGTCGCGACCGGCGAAGAAAATCGAGTTACGCGAGGAGAAAAAAAATTGCTACAATGTGAGGAAATCATCAGAAATGAATGTATTAGGAATCTCTGAGATCTGAGAAGAGACAGATTTTTTCGTTCAGCGGAGAGAAAGTGTAAATAATATACGGCAATAAGGAGAGTGAATTCTGCGTGTGCGAGCGGTTTAATGCACACGACGGCGGATCCGGGAATGCAATTGTATATATATCTCGAGGAGATTTTTTTCTCATGCGAACAATATATCCGTGTACGTTGCGCGTTCGCGAAGTGATTCGTCATCTCGGAAGTGCGTATCGATCGCGGTTCTCGCCTCGTTATCTCCATTCTCGGGATCTCCGCGAGCCCGCGGCTCATAGTGCAAGTCACGGAACGTCCGCTGCAATTGGCGCTATAATTTCTCTATGACGCTCCAGAGGGATTGTATGAAGACAAAACGACTCGACCGCTTCTCCCCCACGCGGGAAGGTGTCGGAATTCCATCGTCGTCGGCACGATCGAAGACAGATGTTGGACTCGCGCCACGGGAGGATCGCGTTATTGAGAAGAAGGGAGTGATGCAGCTCTCGATGCAGCTGCAGCCGTCGTGCAGTCGTTGCTGAACGTTGCTTCGCGTCCTGCGTCTTTTTAATTATCTACTCGAAGGAGGAGAAAAAGTCGAGAAGCGCGGAGTCGTCGACGCGAGACGAGTGAATTAGTGAATTATTACGTTTTTAATAATGACTTCGCTCCGCAAAGTCGGCCGCCGAAATTAAATTCATCCGCCGAGCTCCCCTCTCGGCCGCTTTCCCGGAAGCGGACGTCGCGCGTATACCAAAGTTTCGCGCAAGAGGAGACGCCCGCCGACAACTTGCATGGATTGCATTACGAAAGTCACGAGACAATTCAGTCGGGAGATAATCTCGAGACGACGTGGAGAACGTGATGAATCGAAATGACCTAATTAGTGTATCGTTTTTTTATACGTGGCGTTTCCTTGTTGTGTCGGATCAAATCTTTCTGGTATTTCCCCCCCGATGAGGGATAGAACGGAGAATTTTTCATCGGCAAAAATCTGAGGAATCTCGTGCGATGCGTCGCAACTTTTCAATTTGAATCCCCCTGCGGATTCGATCTTAACGAGCGCATACCGAGAGCGACGCGAGAAGGAGTTTAACGAGGCGCAGGAGGTGTCGAGAAAAGGCGAGGATGGCGAGCGAGGTGATGCTGGCGCCCACGCCGGCGCCCGCGGCGACGTCCATACGCGAGATGGACGACGTCAGGGATATGGTTAGAAGCGCGACCGTCACCACGATTTACGTAAGTCGGTCTTTCGATCCGTGCATGAATTGCGATACATTGTGCACCGCAATTGGTATTCAGAGTGTCACTCGACTTCTCTCGATTCATATCATCCGCATGAAGCGGATATTTCTTCTAGCTGTAATAGAATGAATATATATGAATGTACACAGTAAAATTTATGATAGGTAATTTTTGAAGACGAGAAATTACTATTTTTGTGATATGAAGCTTCGCCATGCCACAAACATGTTGCGAAATTTTTGCAATATATACACTATTTTTTTCCAAGCTTGTAGTTTATAAAAAAAATTATATTTATAATTTGAATTTTAAAACGAGAAAATTATCTTCGTGGAAGCGGCTAGAGATATATACCTAAACTCTAAAGCTTTGCCATACGAAAGTTTCGCAACATTGTCGTGTAATTTTTTTCCCAAGCTTGCGGTCCGAACTCCTGGGATGCTGTTCTGCTTCTCGGACACGCGTTGCCTTATCTGCGGTTTTGCGTGCACGGTAGCACGTGCGCGCCGAGATACGCCATAAACTCGCGCGAATATTAAAGGCTTTCTTGGGGCGGCAATAATCCGCGGTTGCTTTACACACGCTCGCGGCGTGACGAAGGACAATAGTGCCAAGGACAAGATTTCACTCCCGAACGCTAATCGAGCGATCGTCACGGGCGGTGAACAGCGACTTGAGGAAAAACGCGCGCGTCGCTCGGAAATTCGAAGCGGTGTACTTTCGATCTCGCGAGAACGCGCGATATCTCGCTCGCCGCGCGATTTTGATCCCCCTCGCTTTATAATACAAATTGATATCGATTGAATCTTTATATTTATAGGAAAACAACGTGGAATTAGCGTCGTCTCGAGGCTGGAGCGCTGCTCTGTTATTAACGTCGCGATATCGCCTCGTTATACTTTTCCGATCGAATCGCGGAAGAACGGAGAGCGTTATACTGACGCGGCTTCCGCGGATCGCAATTTGCGACACGCTCCGCCGGCTTCTCGCCGCGCTGGAAGTGCTGTCGAGTCGTTGCACAACTAATTAATAGGTCGATCGCGTATGCGAAACGCGCCCGCCGCCGGAGATCTTATACAGCTGCAGCACGCGTCCAATCGATCTTTCGCAGCGATACGCAATTACACGAAGTCTTTCCGGAGTTAATCCGCGACCGAGACGCGTTACGCATCGTCGGAATGCGTGCTGTATTTGTCGGAAGTGATTCGTACGATATATACGCCGGTAGTCAAAGGAGCGCGATCTGATCCTTTCATTCTCTTTTTTCTTCAGATTTAAAAGTTATTGGCCGAATAAAGATATTTTCGCGCACGTATCTCTTTAGCCTTCCCTTCGCACTTTCGATTCGCGTCGGGCGCGTCGTCGGGCGTGGATTGTCGAAATCGCGTAGGCTGCCGCGGAATGGCACTCGACTGCCCACTCGGGATTGCGACTCGCGTTTGAGATCGCACGTGCGACGTGCCGATAAAATCGGTCTGCGAAACTGTTTCACGCTTATGTAAATTGTAATGTAAAATATTGTGTCCTTCGGCGGTCCCCTTTGCCGCACGAATTCCTCTAAATTTCGCCATCCGGAATCGGGACACCGTTTGACCACTTTCAAGACGACTTCACTTTCATTTTGAATCTATACCTGGCGTTTTGAGGTCTGCACTTGTCAGGACTTTTTAGATAATGCGACGTGACGAAACGAACCGTGATGTCATATGCGGATTTTATGCAATCTACGTAAGTGGAGCAATTTCCTTTTAAATATATTTGCTGAATATACGCTCGGAATTAGACTGCGGTTGCTGAAACGAGTATCACGGATGTAGCTCGTCGAGTCCCTAATAGTATACCTACCTAAGTTTCTATCGGTGAAACTAGTTTCGATACGTCAAGTCGTGCCAGGACGAACTTCGTAATTTCACTTCGGAGTCCTGCTGTAGTTTAAGAATTTCACTTAAAACTTGGTGCAAAAATTATCACGGAAAATCGCGCGAACATTTTTCTCAGAGACTGCACAGATCAAAATATATTTACGTTTATATTTTTCGCGCGACTAAATAAAAGTCAATCTTTCTCTTAATTTTGTATCATACTAATTATAATATAAAATTAAAAGTATTGAAGAAAATAGGTATCTTTACAGAATACAGGAATTTATAGCATTAATGATGGGATTTCCAAATATTATGCGCAATACATATAGCGATTGCCCAAGACGGACAGAAGCTGTGACCTTTTTCTTCTCTCGTCCCTTCTGTCGGCTTTATGACGTTCGTGGGCGGGCCGAAACGTGAAAAGCGAACGATTCCGTATTTGGTAGCGGTGCCGTTTCGTGATTGTTATTCACGAAAATCGTGTCGAACGATTCCATGCATCCGTGATGAACGTAAAACTTCGGTTGCCGGATCAAAGAGAAAGTGCATGGCGAGAGAAAGAAAAAAAAATAAATAAATCGAGCGCGATTTTCACCGTCGGCACATGATGAAGGGTCTCTCTTTCCGGCACCTTTCGCTGCCTTCTTCAAACTTTTTAACTCCACTCGAGCCGCACCTGCGAATTCCTTTCGAGTCGACCTTGCCACTTCGCACAACGACACGTTAGCAATGCAATGCTTTGCCCGAAAACTAATTAGTAATTCACCAAGCCATTAAATCATCACGACCGTTAGGGCATTGCCTTGAGCATGCAGAAACCGTTAAAGCGATGCAGTTGTCAGTGCGGTTGTCAGTACTGCGATTGCCAGGGCAGCGTTAATGTTATCTACAGCGAAAAAGATTAATGATCTTTTACTGTAATTTCTGTCAAGGTTATTCGAACGTAATATAATAAAATTAACGATATTACATGTTACATGTTTACTGCAGTAAACTCGTGCTACAATACGCAAGGTATGCAATTTAAAATCAAACTACGCTACGAGATAGGTGATTGTGATTATCGAGAGTCAAATGGGCTTTCCGTTATGGCCTCTTCAAATGCTACATTTGATACCGCGAAAAATAACTGCAGTCGACACCGTTTTCGAGTTATTCACCAGCATTTCGCTTTATCGTTCTACTAATCGATAGAGTGCACTTCCTTCTAATATCCAGTCAGGAAATAAACACCGACAGAAAAAAGCCATCGATTCTTCGCGCATTGGTAAATGGCGCGGCATGATTTCTTCCTTGAGACGCGGCGATTCGCGTAATTCGGCATAAAGATCTTTTTAGGTCGGTTCACTGTACGCGCGTCTTGCAATTAAAAAGTGTGTACTTTCATTTATTAAAAAAAAATAATAATAAAGCATGTTAGAATTTTGTATGACGACGTATGAAATTTACAGAATTTTCCCCAGAATTCTGTCGTGAATTGTATGCGTCTTCTCTGAAACGAGCTTGGAGCGACGCGCGCTGTTTACCCCGCGGTTTTATCAGCCGACTGCAACGGGCTCCGGTTGTTTAATTTCTACCTTTGGTTTCTACCTGCACACACGTCGCGCATTCCTGCACTCGCGCGCGTGGGTGCGAGTGGGTGTACACCGGCACCGGTTTACGATCGACTCTCGTCGCGCATTTTTTTCATATCCTTGGGAGGACGGTAAATTTTCTGAGGGGGCGTTATTTTCCGAGAGCTACTCCACTCTTTCGACGCCGTCGAATAACATTATCGCAACATCTATAGCTCCGAGCGTGAACACACGCTTTAAATTTAGGCGTATGACGGAGAGAGAGATTATTTTCCTTCTCGTGCGATTGACGGTTTCTGAATTATGGAGTATCTCGGAATGATCAAATTTTTTTTTCACATTGACGCGTGACGTACAGTTTTGGAAGTTGCTTAACCGTCTGCGTGGTAATCTTATCTCTCCTTGCCTCTTGTCTTATCTAGAAAAAGCATAATTCGAAACCGAGATCCGACTGTCTCTATCTACCCTCCCCGGTGTCGCAGTGTTTACACAGGCTTATCAACGTCGTCCGCAACGAGTAATCCAAAGCAGGCCGTGTTGCAGTGCATTTGCATATCCTACAGGACGGCGTGAGATTACAATGTCGACCGCACTATTGTCTCACGCAAAGCGTTGCATCCGCGTTACTTTGTCGTGCGATACACGCTTCACCTTTGTTCGAATCGCGTCACATATATAATTATTATTCGAAAAAGAGATGTGTACAAGTTTCACTTTGTTTCGTGCGCGTATCACAGACAATATGAAATTTGTACATATATCTAAAATTTATAAATCGTTTATAAATTTATAAATGTATATATTTGTATAGATTTAATTTTTATACGTTTGCTCAATTAATTTTAGTGAAAATGCATAATTAAATAGGAACTTAACGCATAATACATATAATGCTGCAGCTCCCCTGCAGCAGGCGCGAACTCTGCGGCGGAAAACGTGATGCAAATGTAAATAGGTGCACAGCGGTGGCGGAAATACAGGGTGCGCCGTGACTAACGTCGCTATTGAGCGTTGCCATTCAGAAAATTTTCAAGACGTCTTCAAACGTGCTTACCTCTGTTGTATCTATACTCAAACAATTTCTAAAGTATGCGCTGCAAGGAGAGAGAGAGAGAGAGAGAGAGAGAGAGAGAGAGAGAGAGAGAGAGAGAGAAGAGAAGCGGTAAATATCGACATATGACATATGTCCAACGGTGCGTTTTTTATTTTTCTCTTTTATATAATATCTGACAAGGACTTCCTGGACTTGGCTTTTGGTTTTGCTATAGAGAGAAATATCTACTGTAGACGCGATAATAATTCTATTAATACTATATTTATGGCCTAAACTTCCCCTCCGTGTAATCCCCCCCGTGATTGCATGTGCACGCAAACACGTACGTTGCCGTACATTTTTGCGAGAGTTAATTAACGTTACCGTGCCGCGAGATTGATTAGAGCCGCATTGTAGATTAATCGGTTGTTGAGTGACTCGGCAGATTTCGTCTACTATGCCATAATTAGTTTACAAGTAGTTATACCCCCCGTCATGAATGCTGCGAGCGCGAAAGTGGCGGAGATCTCACATAAATCACGAAGAACCGGGCTTAATTTGCGAAATTGTAAGTGTATCTAATTCGTTTGTGAAATCCGCCGATTGTAACGGCGATGGTATTTCGCGTACATAACAATCGAATTTATTTTTAGGCAGTTTACGATTTCACCTTTCTTCATCGACAATGATTGCGGTAGCGAAAACCTTCAATTTAACGTCATTTGTTTAACTTCGTCTCTACTGTACACTGCAATTGCAGCTTTACACGAAAAATATATCTCGTTAATCTGAAATTGAAATTCTGAAAAGGAATTAATTCCTTTCAGAACATCCAATTTAACAAATAATAAGGTCTTGTCAGTTCAGAAACTTGCTTGCTCACAAGTTGAAAGCTGAGCAGATAACGCCCTATTGTTTTAGTTAAGGAATAATTGATTTTAAATTTGTGTCAAAAAAAAATCGCACCTTCGCGAATCTCTACCTGAATTATTCGCTCTGCGTCTTCTCGTTTTGGGACATACCACATATATTGGAATTCACAGCCGAAGGATTAATGGATGATCGAAGTACTTGCCAATACGCGGCGGCCGTTGTCGCGGACATCGCGGAAGCGGTCCAAAGGGGAACGTCAAATATACCACACGTCGCGTGGAAGCGGCGCGAGGTCTCTCTACAATTACGTGCGACGTGCGGAGTAGTCGTCGGCGACGGCCGCTCCGGCCGGGACCGCAGCTCTTTGAAGCGTAAATATAGCGCACAAAACGACGCGGAGGCTTTACCGCGAAGTGAATGGCGGTGAAGCCCTTCTCTCTCTCTCTTCTCCTCCCTTCTCCCGTCTCTTCCGGCTTCTCGATCATCCATCGGCCCGTGAATTAATCCCGAAAAATAAAGGGATGCCTGTGGGCACCCCTTTTTACCCACGATACGCAACGACATACCCATGACGGGCAGTCGAGAGATCATTTTCGCGATCTGCACTATCATCGTCGAGCGAGAATGCGCGGCTAGATGAGCGTTAATTATCGTCCCGCGAGGGGAGGAAATCGTGCGCTGGGCGTAACAAAAATCTTTTATGGTTCACAATATGTAGAAACATGTGCGGCGTGTGTATAATGATATGCGCAAGGCGTACACGCCGTTTATCGTAAGCGCGCACGCACGCATGCATTTACCCATGCACGCACGCACGCACGCACGCACGCATTCACGGACGGGAGGAGAAGAACTGCAGTTTCATTTCGTCGAGCGGTAATTCAGGTCATTGACTCATCGACGAGAATATTTGTTGGACGTCGTTGAGAGACAGGGAGACACGGAGAGACAGAAAGAGAGAAAGAGAAACAATCCTGTTGTATTATATTTCGGGAAGGTGGGGCAAAAAATACAGACACGGGGTGTTCAGGCGTATCTGTGTAACGTTAGTAAAGTGGTGGCTCTCGAGACAGGGAAATAAATTGGCTGTAATTCGGGAGGGTACGGCAAACTCTGGCACTTGCCAGAATATCTCTCTAATGATAGCGCAACTCTCTTTTGAAAGAAAGAGAGAAGGAGAGACAAATTGGCGGTATTTCAGAAGAATAGGTCAAGTTAGTTTAGGTGTCCTACAAAAGCGCATACTGATATAATTAAAGTCAAAGGTTAATTAAAAAGTTATTTAACGCCGACAATTAGAGGGAATAAACGTATCTAGTGAAGCTTCAGCGGGATAGATAGGTAATTAAATAGTGTTCTACAGCTCTCGCTTTATCACGGCTTTTTCGGTATTTTCTAGTTAATTACCGGCGGTTCTCACGGCGACGATTTATCGCGGTACTCAATTGATCCTGAAAAATATCAAAGAAAATCACACGATTTTTAAGCCGTGAATTTGCCGCGCGGAACAGAAAGGAGGAAATAAAAAGCGATATTTCGATGCACTGTTCGATACACGTCTTGAAATCGCGATGTTTGTCCGTAGCTTTCGGGTCGTTAAACCCTCGGCAATTAGCGAAGAACAAGTGGACATGCTCAGACGGTCCTCGCTTTAAACGATCATTGCCTTCAACAAAGAAACAAATGAACGAGAATCGTATATAGATAAGATCGGCTGGGATTTCCGGTCGCGCACGCGTTCACTTCCCTCACAATTCTTTCTCTCCTTCCACATCCCGGGCTTCCTTCCGGATCGCCCAATGGAGTAGCACTTTTAATCCTTTCTCTTTATAATGATGAAACGTGTGACATTTTCTGTCGAAGAGTCATCGAGTTTTTAAATTTTCCTTCATTAAGCGTCATTCTCTTCTTTCTTCTCTGAGAAATGTGATTATATCATGCGTAAAGAGAGTTTCTCGCGTCTCGCGCGAAGAAAAATCCTGGAAGAGATTTAATCACGGTTAGTTTTATCATTTACTGTAGTCGGCAAAGTGTGATTTTTAACGCGAATTTCCTCGAGCGTCGCGCTCCTCTCATTGTAAAGGAAAGCGTTTGATTGCTTTTATTGCGCGCTATGGGTTGAACGTCTTCATGAATACTGTCGAGATTGAAAAGATTAATTGGCGCAGAAGCATCGATTGGATAAGCGCTGTCACTTTTGCCCCGCCTTGGTTTCCTCTTCGGTCATCGCGGGTATCGTTGCATCGCGAGAATCGCTGCAACGTCGTCGCGCTGCTGGGCGACGTCATACCGCGAAATCGCGAGATGTATGCCGGTCGTTCGACAATCCTGCTGCCCCGGCCCGGCGGAGGAAAGTAGAAAGTCGCACACTGTTTACAGATCGTACACGTTAATCGGACGTGAAACGCAGGTGCACACACGCGACTCGCTCGGCTCGCGCGGGAAGTCGATCGTTTCGAACGAGGTCCTCGTTAGCGGGCCTACCATTAATGATTCTTCAATTCCGCGAAAACATTCTCCATCGCAATTCGAGCGTGGCGCGTCCGATCCGAAAGGAATCGAGAAATCTGGAAAATTTTCAACATCAGTTTACTTTTTCTCCGCACAGTTAAATTAAGTCTTAACGATGATCTAACAAGGGAACTCACGGAAGACAATTAAAATACAAATACTGATAGTAAAACGTATTTTTATAGATTTAATTTTCATAAAAGTCATAAAGGAATCGCTAGTGATCTAACAAGAAATAAGAAATTTGTATATCATATATAGATTCTTCGTAGCTATAAATATACATACCATATATGCGAAATTTGTTTCGAGGCTCGATATCTCGAATCGATGATTCCACGATAACGGCGAGGAACGAGAGTGTGCAGCATTGCCTTCGGCTTGAAATTTCACCTCCAATTTAGTCGGTATGCTAAGCACTTCGCGGAACACGTTTCGGCTGGAGTTTCCATTAACGCGTTTTACGCTTATCGAACGTGCTTTTGTATGTACGTCTCACGTCGTCTGGCCGCCACTGGAGATGTAACGCCGGTCTTATCAATTTATAATAGTCCCGAGATTGGTCCCTTTGATCGCGCGATTCCTGTGCGAACTATCCGTGTGCTTTATCATTAACGGTAGCGTTGTAATTATCGCGATTCACCGCACGACGGCGATCTCTCGTTCTCTCTCCTCCCCCGGTTTCGAGTGTCGTTCAGGAGGAATCCGACTCGTATACGAATCTCGGTCTTATCGATCGCGAGGAATGCCGCCGCGATTAGATACCGTGTGTTTTACACGGTTTTATCGCCGGATTTAGAAAGTTATTTCAGTAATCGGTGCCGTCTTCATGACTGCCGAGCTTAAAGGTCGCGACGATTTATGGACGTGCAAGTGCATACACGCTTTTGCGCCGAATGATAACTCCGTTTCTGAAATTGTGTAATCACACGCGCATTTTATTCACACAAGCGTTTAAATGTTTCATCTAATACATGTCATATACGGAGTAGAATGTGCGATACTTTAAATAAGTTATTACTTCAAAAGTGTGCCATGCACTCGCGACGCTAATTACTACCGCAATTACCGTTTTACTACTAATCGCGCTTTCTTTAAATTGATTCAAACCGCGTTTAGAATAACTTATTTTGCCGCCCAGTCCGTTATTGCATTGCAGAATTGATTAAATTGAGGTTCCACGGTGACACTGTGTATTCCCGGCGACCTCGTTTACAAAGTTGGAGCACACGCCTCCCATTTTCCCTTTACGAGTGACACCGAGCAATTTTGTTGCACGTGCAGCACCCTGTACATCTCGTTATCGCCCTAATACATAACCCATCGGTTTACTCGGAATTGCTTTCAAATCTCGTTTATTCGGATCAATGAGTTTTTCGTTTATCTAATTCTCGATCGACAAATTCAATTATCTATAAAATTTATATTTACTGCAAATTATTTGCTGTCGAATAAAGTGGAGTGTTACGCGGAATGTAATCTTTTATGATATCGATTAATATTTGAAAAATAAAACCATATTCCAATGAGTGTTTTGCAATTACATATATCAAATGTAATATAATATTATAGGCTACCCGAATCTATTAAATTATTATTTTCTTACGCCTTTTATTACCTGCCTCACCTTTCCTGTCAAACGACTGTTAGGATGGGTGTATGCACTTTGCTCAATGGATATCCGATACAGAACTTCCATTTCGAGTCTATGTGGAGCGTGTCAGAAGTCGCGTGTCTTTCGCACGTGCACTTAAAATCCCGATGCATTATCTTCTTCGCACGAACGCTTTGTACGTTGCAGTTACGCGGAATACGAGCATTACGAGCTCGTTCAATTTACATCGCAATCTCTACGTCTCTTCGTCGCGTCGCAGCGAGTTTGTAATTCGAAAAATTCAAGCGGATAGTTCTATATATATATATATATATATAT